AGGCGGCTGCAGCCACTCTGGCCCCAGCCTGTAGCGCTGCAGGGGGTTGGTGTGACCGAAGTGCAAGACCCTGCACTTGGCCTTATTGAACCTCATATGCTTGAAGGTGCTTCTCATCATCAAGTTTTTTCTTCGCACCTCACTTTGCAGCTGCTGCTGAGGCCCAGGGCAAACACCAACCTCTGACTGCAGGGTTATAATTCCCCTCACTGTAACTACAGAGCCTAGGGAAGAAAATAATAAGGGACTGCCAATGCTTTAACAATAGCGTTGCTGTTTTAACACCAGTAACACAGTAAGCTAAATCAGTGCAACTGCAACAAAAGATTATGCAACACTAAGAGCTGGGACCTCGGCCACAGAACATGACACTGTGATTTGCCGTTTGGTAGATCCAAAAAACAACCATGCAGGGCCCCAGGTGGAAGCAAAACATGGGGACGTGAAAAGTGATGGAGACCCTCAAAAATGTAGGCTTGAATTGCTTACCCTGACGCATACAGATACACAAGAGGAAAAATAAATCCTGATTTGTTTTTTTGAAAGACAAAATATCTTAGGAGTGTAAAGCCTTCCCAGCTTTCAAGTGTGACTTGGGAAATGAAAATTAAAGAGCTCATGTTCCCAAGTAGTTTGGGTGCTTCTCATTTCCAGGTGGCTTCTCAGCACTCTTCCCTGAGGAGGCATCAGGGACGTGCAGTCCATCGACAAGCAGCAGCACAGCGCCAGCACAGTTCATCTGCCACCAGATTTTCCATCCCCACCGTTTGTTCTTTACCAGATGACCAGGTCCACAGTGTGTGCAAATACACGCCTCTCCCGCTCTACGCTCAGACACGTACGTGTGTCCTTTTCACTTCAAGGCACTCCACAAGAAGTGGAAGAGGCTACAGAGTCCTTCAGCACCTCCAGGAGGGGCTGCGTGGCCCACCCTGGGGTTTAATTCACAGCTACGCCCCAAAGGAGCTTCTGCAAACTCCAGTGATTTACTCGAGGTGTCAGCGCAGCTGAGCCAGCGACCCTGTTGCTGCACCTGAGAGCAGCACTCGTTCCCTTTT